GTGTGTTGAAGTGTAACCCAATATGAGCATCTAAGTTTCAACCCATGAAAATCACTCTCATGATTCCTCAATCCCATTAATCTCTTTTTTTTTTGTCTGATATAAGATCGATCATAACTTAATACTATATGTTTGTATTGATTACTGATTTATCTTGTACTCTTCTTCAAGATAAAAGATTGTATGAATGATTAGGGACGAGTCGGTAAATACGATATACAAATTCTAAGTTCTTTATTCTGTATTTTCTGTAATTTGTAAAACAACCATCTGAAAATGCTTGTTCATGGATATATGCATATTTTGTTTGGATTTAGTATGGATATTTGGAATTCGTCGAAACGTCTAGTTAGTTCTAGAGATAAGTAAGTTTCTTGGTAAAGAGTTTTGCCGTAAAATTTATCAAAGATAAAACACTCGATCCAAAGCTCCAATGATCAAGTAATCCATTCGCTAAAATTACACTAGATATAGTAGAATCAAATTTGGAATCAGAGAATTTTGATGACTTTGACCCTAGATCAATACCGTTGTGCCACCACATGTCGACTTTTGCACATCTATGCACCCATTGTATTGTTTTTTATATAAAAAAAAAAAAATTCATTGTATGACGTACCGAACATGAATGAATTCTAATGAAAGATAATAATAAGCTAACCAGCCTAAAGTAATAGTAGGCCTCTTACTTTTTAGAAGAAAAATTTTAACCCGTTAGGCCACAATTATCAATCAAATTAATATTGAACCAGTATCTTAAGATTCTTTACCAAAGAAAAAATAATTCAAATGCATACGTTCGTGGAATGTAGGCACGATGCAATTTGATGAAAGGGAACGTGAGATAAAGGGTAGACAGAAAAAGTAAGTGATCCACTACATCAAATGGTTTATCCCCACGTGTTCAATTGTGAGAAGATTGCTGCGCCATTAAGTAAACCATATAGCCGTTAATAAACCAATACGACAAGACTCATAAAGCCATGACTCGTGACCGTACCTTTTGGGTTTTGAGTACACTCCTATATAAACCCCTAAGGGCTCTCACGTCCACTGGTCCTTTCCATGCTGATTAAGCAACATCCTCTTTCACATATATATCTATAATCAACACAAAAGAAATACCATTAACATAAATTCGTTAAATAAAGCTTACAGCAAAACAAATGAAGAAAGCTACGGCATTGATGAAACAGATTGTTGCGTTGTTGAGCTCCGTGGCAAAGGCTAAATCTATAGCCATAAAAAACAAAACAAGCGCCTTCAAAACACGACTCCTCATGTTGTCCCTGGTGAAACAAAAGAAGCTCGGGTTCCGTTCCATTTCCAACAAGATCCACAACCTCCTAGGCCATGC